GAGTTAGTGGGAGAGGGCTCTCCCTAACCTCTATCTTTGTGCTCTCATATAAAGGAATTTTTATGAGAGACTTAACTGCGCTGTGAAAAACTAATTTATTAAAGCAATTAAAACATGCACCTTTACTGAAAGACCAAAGCAAGCAAATCTATACATCTGGCTTATAAAGCACAGATGAGCTCTCAACTAATCTGAAGAGCAGTTGGGTGGGGGACTGAGGTGTTATAAACCCTACTGTCTATAGGCTTCAAAATTTCTCCGTTGACTTTTTTTATACAGATTAATTCTCAAGGTATCCCCCCCCCTTTTTTTTTTTTTTACTTTGTTTTGGCCTTCCCAATATTCATGAAAAGCACCTGGCAACTTTATTTTGCCAAGCCTTGAGACTGCTGGCTTCTCTGCTTCGGGAGTAAAATGTCCCTTTCTTTCCTTTCTCCCCACCATCCCCCCTTTTTGTATTCTCTCATTAGAGATGGTTTGTCTGTTTTTTTAACCATTTGCTCTGCGTTCTTGGCATACATACCCTCCCTCCCCAGAATTTTGTGTCCATTGGTTGTACTTATATGCATGTATAAAAGTCCTTTGGTTGATCTATTATCTCCCCTAGATCTCCCTACCCTCCCTGCTGTAATTTGACAGTCTGCTTGTTGCTTTACTATCTCTATATCTATCTTTTGGTTCATCAGTTTATAGTGTTCTTTATTATCGATAAATGAGTGAGGTCATGTGGTGTTTCTCTTTCATTGATTGGCTTATTTCACTCAGCATGATGTTCTTCAATTCCATCCAGGTTGCTGCAAATGATGAGAATTCCTTCTTTTTTATGGCAGCATAGTATTCCATTGTGTAGATGTACCATATATTCCTGATCCAGTCGTCTGCTGATGGACTCCTAAGCTGTTTCCAAATCTTAGCTATTGTAAATTGTGCTGCTATGGACATAGGGGTGCATATATCCTTTCTGATTGGTGTTTCTAGTTTCTTAGGATATATTCCTAGGAGTGGAATCACTGGGTCAAATGGGAGTTCCACTTTTAGTTTAGTTTGTTTGTTTGTTTTCCACACAATTTTTATTTTTATTCAACTGTAAGCAAATAGCAGAATTAACACAACTCCATTTAGTAATTCTAGACTGGCTTTTGTTACACCAAGGAAGAGCGATAAACCTAACAGGCACAGACTATCAGATTTCAGATAACCCCTCACCCAGCCCTGCAGCTTAACAGGAAAGGGACTCTCCAGATTGCTTTTCCAGTACTGCTCTTCAGAGGATACGCCTTTAAATTCTGGGTTGTTATTCTTGTATTAACAATCTGACCACATCCTAGTACCAAAATAGCCCCCAAAATGGAGTTCAAATTTGATCAAAACATAAATCCAGGGTGTGTGACCCTGTACAATGATAAAGGACAGGCAAAAGGAAAAGTCACCCTATAGCTCTATTTGCTCAGGTCTCGCCTGTGAGAGTGGGAACAGGGAAGAGGAGAAATCAATATGAATCACTGAACTTGTGAACACTGCATGGGGCCCCAGGGCCATCTGTCTCCTGGCTTTCCCCTACTTCACCGCCAGCTGCTCATGGAGCTTGGGCACATAGTCATCCCATTTCGCCTGGGGCCCGAGGTTGTACTTTTTGTGGAAAGATGCCACCTTGAATTTGCCACAGTTGTCTCCAGATTGGTTGGTGAGAATGGGCTCGTCACACTTCAGCGGCTTGGCCTGTTCATGAACCAGCCAGATGTAGTGGTGAAGGACTGTGCCCTTCGGAGGCCCAGAGCCCACATAATCAGAGGGGACGGTGCCACTGCTGATGTCGTTGCCCTTCATGTTGAACACCAAGAAATGGTGCCATTCCCTAAATTTGGGGTCCTTTCTGCTTGCAGCATCTGGGTCTGTCAAGACCAGGGTATAGAGTTTACTTGAATCAAGGCCATCCCATGAAATACCAGAGGGCCCGCTCTTAACCTGGGTGGGCGTCAGCACTTTGCCCAGCTCGTCGACTTCCGCCCAGGAGTATTTGACCTGCAGCGGGTGCTTGGGCCACCTGCTGCAGGCTCAAGGGCCCGGACCACTGGCTGAGGTCCACTGGCATCGCGGGGCCGAAGGGAGGACCACTGGAGAGACACGGGGGGAGAAGCCAACAGCACCGACTCTTAGCGGTTCGCCAACCCCATTTTTAGTTTTTTGAGGAAACTCTATACTGTTCAGCACAGTGGCTGCACCAGTCTGCATTCCCACCAGAAGTGCACGAGGATTCCTTTTTCTCCACACCCTAGCCAACACCTGTAGTTTGTTGATTTGTTGATGATAGCCATTCTGACATGTGTGAGATCGTACCTCATTGTCATTTTGATTTGTATCTCTTGGATAATTAGTGACTTTGAGCATGTTTTCACGTGTCTCTTGGCCTTCCTTCTGTCTTCTTTAAAAAATATTCTATTTAAGTCCGTTGCCCATTTTTTATTTGATCATTTATCTTCCTTTTATTAAGTTGTATAAGTTGCCTGTAGATATTGGAGATTAAGCCTTTATCAGTGATAACATTTGCAAATATGTTCTCCCATACAGTGGGGTTTCTTGTTGTTTTGTTGATGTTTTCTATTTTTTTTTTCTCTCTGTCATTCATTTCTGCTGTGATCTTTATTATTTCCTTCCTTCTCCTCGCTGTGGGCTTGTCTTGTTGCCCTTTTTCTAATTCCTTGAGTTGTTTTGTTAGATGATTTATTACTTTTTTTTTTTTTTTGAGGTAGGCCTGTAGAGCTATAAACTTCCCTTTCAGGACTGCTTTCATTGTGTCCCATAGGATTTGCAATGTTGTGTTTTATTGTCATTAGTCTCCAGGATGTTTATAATTTCTTTTTTTATCTCATCGATAACCCAATCATTGTTTAGTAGCATGCTATTCAGCTTCCAAGTGTTTAAATTTTTTTGGAATGTTTTTATTGTTTATTTCTAATATTATGCCATTGTGGCTTGAGAAAATACTTGATATGATTTCAATCTTTTTGAATTTTGGGAGAGTTTTCTTGTGACCCAATATGTGGTTTATTTTTGAAAATGTCCCATGTGCACTTGAGAATAACATATATTTCATGGGCTTTAAGGTGAAATGCTCTGAAGTTGTCAATAAGGCCCATCTGATCTAGTGTGTCATTTAGAATTACTATTTCTTTGCTGATTTATTTATTTATTAATTATTATTATTATTATTATTTTATTTATTTATTTATTTTTGGTCTAGCGGATTTATCTAGTGATGTCAGTGGTGCATTAAAGTCCCCTACTATGATTGTATTGATGTCTATCTCTCCCTTGATATCTTCCAGGAGATTTTTTTTTAATGTATTTGAGTGCTCCTGCATTGGGTGCATAATGTTTACCAGAGTTCTATCTTCTTATTGAATTGCTTCTTTTAGTATTATGTAGTGGACTTCCTTATCTCTTATTATGGCCTTTACTTTGAGGTCTATTTTTATCTGATATAAGTATTGCAACCCCAACTTTTTTCTCATTTCCATTTGCCTGAAAGATGTTTTTCCATCCCTTCAGTCTCAGTCTGTGTGAATGCTTTGTTCTGAGGTGCATCTCTTGTAGACAGCAAATATATGGATCATGTTTTTTATCCATTCAGCTACCCTATGTCTTTTGATTGGTGCATTTAATCCATTTACGTTTAATGTTATTATTGACAAGTACATGTTTGTTGTCATATTTTTCCTTAGTGTTTGTGTTTCTTCTTGCCTTTCTCTATCTTCTTTTTACACCAATCCCTTTAGCATTTCTTGCATTTCTGGCTTGGTAGTGATAAACTCTCTTAGCCCTTTTTTGTCTGTGAAGCTTCTGATTACACCTTCAATTTTGAATGATAGCCTTGCTGAGTATAATATTCTTGGATTCAGTTCCTTGTTTTGCATCACTTTGTATATTTCATTCCATTACCTTCTGGCCTGGTGTGTTTCTGTTGAGAAGTCAGTTTATATTCTAATAGGAGATCCCTTGTAACTAACTTTCTGTTTCTCTCTGGAAGCCTTTAAGATTCTTACTTTGTCATTGGTGTTTGCCAATTTAATTATGATATGTCTTGGTGTCAGTCTTTTGGGGTTCAACTTGTTTAGGACTCTATGTACTTCTTGGACTTGCATAGTTATTTTCTTGCTAATATCAGGGAAGTTTTTTGTCATTATTTCTTCAAACGGGTTTTCTATTTCTTGCTTCTCTTCCTCTCCTTCTGTTATCCTATTAAGCAAAGGTTGCTTCTTTGTGTATTGTCCCAAAGCTCCCTTAGGCTTTTATTTTGCTTTTTAAGTCTTCTTTTCAGTTACTGCTGTGTTTGTGTGTTTTTTACTAACTTGTCCTCTAATTCGCTCATGTGGTCCTCATCCTCTTCTAGTCTACTGTTTAAACCTTCCATTGTGTTCTGCACTGCAGCTATGTTGTTCCTCATCTCCTCTTCGTATCTTTTCATGTTGGTGACATTCTCATTCAGCTTCTTATAATTCTCATTGAGTTGTGTGTATTTGTCATTGAGTTGTGTGTATTTGTCATCCAGCCATTTAAACATCCTTATAACCATTACTCTGAATTCTATCTCTGATAAGCTGCTAGCCTCAAATTCATTTAACTCCCTTTCTGTTGATTCTTCTTTTTATTTCCTTTGGGGATTGCTTTTTTGTCTTCCCATGTTTCCTGTAATGCTCTAATTATAAATCCAATTTCTTTGCTGCCCAGGTTCTTTTGAGGTTGGTGCTACTGGTGTAATCTCTCAGTTCTCCTGGGCTTATTAATCTAGTGTAGCTTTCTAGTGAGCTATTTGTGTTCTTTTGATGTAGGCCTGTGAGCTTTAGGGACACAACTGCAGTGTCTAGGAGTCAACTGCTATGGAGGGGACTATCCCATTTTTTTCTATCTTGCACCCTTAATTGTAATCATGTGTTCCTAGCAGGGACTCCCAGTGGTTTCCAAGAACCGTCTGTTGGGATGATGAGGCTCAGGGGGCCTGATCTTTGGAAAGGTGTGACTGTGTTGCCCAGAGTCCTGCAGTTGTGGGGTGGGCAGACCCAGCTTTTGCTGTTGTACCTGTGGTGGATAGGCACTTACTCCCAGTGGCAACTCACAGGAGCACCCTCAGTAAGTTTGCCAGTGAGGCACACTGAAGGACTCTGAAAAGCCCTGGCAGTGTAGCCGTGCAAATGAGGTACCTGTGGGCCGGTATCCAGGATAAGTGAATTCAAAACTTCTACTGCCGGAGGGGAGGTTGCGCCTCCCCCGCCCCCACTTGTTCAAAATCACGCCTAAGGAGAGTTCACAGTGCTCCCATTAGCGCCCTGTGGGTAGATGGGCTTAGACTGCCTGACTATTGGAACTTTGCCTCTGTGGAGGTGCACTTTCCAGGTGCAAAGTTCTGATGCACTCTGAGGGGTCCTGGCAATGAGGTTGAGCCACTGCAGTTAAAATGGACAATTATCCAGAAAGAGGGAATTCAAAATATCTACTGTGGGGTCACTCACCCTTGTCTGTACAGAATCACACCCTCGGGGGCTCTCAGAGGCTCCTAGGTGCTGCCTAAGAGTGGAGTGCTGGTTAACTGCACTGCTGGAAACCCAAGAATCCAGCCAAAAAACCACGAATCATGAATTCAGCTGGAAATGCGTGAATCCAAATCCAGAATTCTGCTGCTGGGGAGGGGGAGGTTGCACTTATTGCTGCCAAGCAGTGCACCTTTCGAGGTGGAGGTCCCAGGGCCCACGGGTCTGCAGCTTGTGTAGCAGGATTTTGGGTAGAGTGGCTGCTGGGTAGCGGAGCAGTTCCAAGGCCTGTCTTGTTGGTGTTGATGAGTTCCTAAAAAAGGCCGTTGGGGTGACATTGGTTAATAAAATTATACATGTTTCAGGTATACAGTTCTGCAATATGTTATCTGCATATTGATTGTGTGTATAATAACCCAAGTCAAGTATCCTTCCATCACCTTTACCTTCTTCTACCTCCTTTCTCACCTGGCTCCCAATCCCCTCCTATGACAGCTGTCAGTCGGTTCTCTGTGTCCATGAAATCTTACTTTTTGAGAAGCATGGGATGGACCTGGAGAGCATTATGCTAAGTAAAATAAGCCAGTCAGAGGAAGACAAATACCATATGCTTTCAATCTTATGTGGAATCTAATGAACAAAATAAACTAACAAAGTGGAGGCAGACTCCTGGATAAAATGTGCATATTCTTATATTGTATTTGTGCCTGGATTCTCTTTAATGACAAATATGAAGGAGAGATTAAAGAAAAATATGCTCTTGTTGCATTACTACGTATAATTTTATGGACATATTTAAAGATCAAAAGACATTATGCCTAAAAAACTAGATTGAAAAAATATTAGATATCTTTGTACTACTGGGGACAAAAATCCTTATTGTGTGCCCTTCTGGAGGAGACTGCTGTTTGGTTGCCCCAATAATGACTCACCCTTTCCTCCTTGCTGACAAATCCTTGATTTATTCAATCATGTGAGTAAGAGAAGGGAATATCTCAGTCTTTCTCCAGTTGGGTTTGGTCATTTAATTAAGATTTAGCTAATAAGCTACAATCATAAGGGCTGTATGGTATTTCTCAATCAAAAGTGAGAGAGCACACTTTTATCACCGCTGTTCCTCTTTTTATGCTTCATAGAAGGTGGATATGATGGTTGGAATTTTGGCAATATTCACTGGGCCTTGAGTAAGTACCTAGGGATTTTTCTGCTACATGACCCAGAGCCTGAATATGTCATAAAGCAAACAGTTAGAATATCAGAAAAAGGAAGCTTTAGCATTTCAGAAAAAAATATTAGCCTTTTTAGTAAACTTGTGACTATTTTATTCCAATTCATCATATGGATTTGCCCCATAAAGCAGTCAGTTTATGCCAGTCTTGAAATGGCAAATCAAGGATTTGTATAAACTGGCCAGTCCTTTTCCTTGATAAATTTTATGGGTTTTGCCTTTGTAAGTCCCACCCCCAACTTTTGATCTGGGATATAGTGTTCACAGAAATATATGAAGTAAATCCTTAATCCTTTAAATGAATGGTTCTGAATTATTCCTTGGTGGTTGATCTGCAGGAGACTGCTTGAAGTTTTAAAAACTCTGCTCTCATATTCATAATTTAAAGACTCTTTCTAAACTATAAACACTGACTTCACAAATTAGATGGGAGAAGTTTAGATATTAATGCTGTCAAATTGCCATTCACATGAACCTAGTAACACATAAACAGATATATTTGAATCAAAGTATGAATAATATAAAGAATCACTTAGAATAAATTACAATCAACATGTAAATTGATAGTAAATTTATTCAGTGCAATTTATACTGCATTTTCTTCTGATAATTAAGTGTCTATAAAATACAAATATTTACCAGTGGTTCATGTGGTTAACTAATTTCCTTGGATTAGGTAATTGTTATGGTAAAGAAACAAATATTGCAATTGCAACAAAATGACATTGAAATAAATGAAACAAGAATTATTTAGGATTCTACTGCACTGAAATCTATATGACCACAAATAATTCTTCTTTTTTTTTCTACCAATCATGAAAAATAATTATAATCACAATAAATTACAGTTAAAGAAGTATGTCTTCTCATTCTGCTACTCAAAGCATATGTTAGCCCTGGCTGGAGAGCTCAGTTGTTTAGAGCATTGTCCTATACACCTAAAGGTTTCAAGTTCAATTCCTGGTCAGGTCACATACCTAGGTTGTGGGTTCAAATCCCAGTTGGGCACGGATGTGAGGCAACTGCTCAAGTGATCAATGTTTCTCTCTCACTCTCCATTCCTCTCTCTCTCAAGTCAATAAAAAAAAAAAAACAACCATATCCTCGGGTGAGGATTAAAAATTAAAACAAAACATATATATTAGAAGAAGAGAAAGCACAGATTTCTTGACCCTCTTCTTGAGAATATGGGTCAATTGGTATTGAATGGGGCCTAGAAATTTAAGAGAAAGGAACACTTCTAAGCTCCTTCTATAAAGCCAGCATCACCCTAATACCAAAACAAGATAAAGATAACACAATAAAAGAAAATCAGATGCTAATATCCCTCATGAACATAGATGCCAAAATCCTCAACAAAATTCTAGCAAATTGGATCCAGCAGTACATCAGAAAGATCATACACCATGACCAAGTAGGATTTATCCCAAGATGCAATGATGGTACATTATCTGCAAATCAATAAACATGATACATCACATAAACAAATTGAGAGATAAAATAAATATTCTAAAATAAGGTTATCAGTGAAAGTTGAGAAAAAGTGAGCTTGCTTAAGGAGAAAATTTTGGGAAATCCCATAATCTACCTGACTCAGAACTCTAAAGACAAGCTGCCCTCATGTTTTTCCCTATTCCAAAGGCCTCCTCTGTGCCCCTATCAATCACACATCACAGTTGCTTTATCCACTCCTGCCAGAGAAAAGATCTAAGGGCTAGTGGACAAATATGCTTGCTCCAGCTAAGTTTTTCATAATCTTGTCACTATTCCTCAAACCAATATGCAAAAAAATGAATAAAAGAGGAGGAGGGAGAAGCAATAACGTATACATATGATGTTATGTTACATATTTTCTGTTTTATCATCTTTATGCCAAAGTATTTAAGTATCTTATTATTTATTATCAACAGTTTATATTGGATATTAATATATATTATCAATAATAATATTCTTTATTAGCTATACTATCAAACATTTAAAAGAAGCTATGTAAGGCAACTTCTGAATGTAGAAAAATTAAATCAATAATAAAACAGGCCAGTAATAAGAGTAATAAAATAATTTTTACACATGTTAGCACATGTATGCCATGTACACCCAGACATACACAACTGTAATATTTTTCTTATATCCTGATACTATATCCTTTTGTTTTAAACAAATGTTTCTATTGCTTTCCTATTTGAGTTGTAAGCTGTACCAATAGATACTAATAAAAGGGTAATATGCTAATCAGACCTTCCAGGAGACCTTCCAGATGTCCTGGAGAAAGCCATGGTGGTGGGGCTGATGCAGAGGTGGTTAGGGGTGATCAGGCCAGGAGGGGAGGGAAGTTGGGATGATCAGGCTGGCAGGGATGGCAGTTGGGGGAGAGCAGGCTGACAGGGGGGGTCGAGCAAGCCAGCACGGGAGGGGGGCAGTTGAGGGCAAGCAGGCTGGTGGAAGGGGCAGTTGGGGATGATCAGGTCAGCAAGCAGGTGAGCAGTTAGGAGCCAGTGGTCCTGGATTGTGAGAGGGATTGGGCCTAAACCAGCAGTCGGCATCCCCTGAGGGGCCCTAAATTGGAGAGGGTGCAGGCCGGGCTGAGGGACACCTTCCTCCCCTGTGCACGAATTTCATGCACTGGGCCACTAATATGATATAATTAAAAATGTTCAGTATATAGATTAATTCATAATAAAATACAATGTATGGGTTATATAAGACACATGACAAACTTTCAGATATACCTATATTACTGTAAAGTTGCAGTTAGGTAAATATATAGGGAAGTGTTCCACTTCAGAGAATAATTTAAATTTAAAATGGGTACTAAATTCTCACTTAAATTTCATAAAATTGTGAGGGGGAAAGAGGCTCTAGTACTTCCTTATATTTTTATAAATCTAAGGTGAATCATTGAGGCAATTTATTTTGACTATAATGTATTGTGGTTTTATATTGCCACAAGGGTAAGAAATTTCAACACACAGATCAAAAGATTAAGTCAATAAAATAAAAATGTGTTCTTTTTTACATAGTACATGTACTATCTTGAAATAAAATACCATTCCTGTTGCTTCTGTTTGATAACCCTCTCCTTAATTACAGTAAACACATATTCCTTTAAATAGATGGACACCTTAATTGTAAAAGTGAGATACAAACTACCTGATTGGAAAAAGAAAAACCCTACTTGATGACTACAATTTCTAATGCAGAATTTCTCACATTTCAGTCTATCTAATAATCATCTGGGGTGCTAGCTTAAAATTCAGATTCCCTTGGATTTACCTGAAAGGTTTATTTTCTTATTAAATGTATTCTTTTTAAAATTATAAAAGTAGTACCTGATATCATAAAATATTAATTCTACACACTTCGGTATTTACAGTTTTGGACTTAAATTCTTGTTGCCAAAATTTGTAGATCAGGTTCATTTAAGGAAGAACAGAGTCAAAATATCCTAATTAATCTTGCCCTCTATCAAACCATGCAACCCTCAGTCTGAGCTAAACTGTAAAGCCACAATAAAATATTACCATTTTTATAAATATCTATCTATCTATCTATCTATCTATCTATCTATCTATCTATCTATAAGCCTAAGTGACCAAACAACTGGTCAACCAGTCGCTATGACGTGCACTGACCACCAGGGGGCAGACTCTCAATGCAGGAGCTGTCCCCTGGTGGTCAGTGCACTCCCACAGTAGGAGTGCTGCTCACATGACCAACCCATCCTGGCAGCCCTCAATCTAAGTGGCAGCCACTCACTCCCTCAGTAGTCATGTAGGTCCAATCTCTGGAGAATGGGCCAGGCACTGATGGACTGGCACTGCAGACATGATCCCTGACAGTGCTGCCCCTGGCCTCCTAGAAGTCAGCCTTGGGCACGTCAGCCACTTCCCCTCCCTAGACACTCCACAAGGAAGAAACAATATAAAAGTGGTCACCTGGTAGCTCCTGATAACCAGCGTGAAAGTCAGTGGGAGGGATTAGGATCCTAGGCTGGTAAAGGCTTCTCACTGCCTGCCAGGAGGGCCAATAGTGTCCTGGTTCCCCCCCATCTTGAGATGGGCACCAGATCCAGTGCTCACGGCTGTTGAGCGCCTTTGTGGCGGCATAAGCCTCTCCTGATCAGGAATGACTGGGTGCGAGTTCCCAGCAGGTGCAGTGGGGCTGGGAGTGGCAGGCAGGAGTGCAGGTGGTGTTGGACTGCCAGTTTCAATCCAAGCCCCACAGGCCACACCAAGGGTCCCCACCCATGCATGAATTTGTGCACTGGGCCTCTAGTATAATTATAATAATCTTCCAATTTCTGCAACTTTGGGAATTCCTTTCAGTTTAACCCTGGAATGCAAGACTAAGCATTTTGACTCTATTATTTGTTTTTCTAAAAAACTAAAGAGAGACATTTGTTTTATTTAAGGACTGATTTTAATATTACATTAATGCCACTTATTCTGACATTTTCCTGGTCCTTACATTCCAATATAATCCTTTAATAAACTAATAGCTCTTTCTTTTATGGGTTTCCCATAAATTCCCTGTTAATCATTTTAACAAGAGTTTTTGTTTTGTGAACAGTGATTGATTTTTGTTAACAAGCAATGATCAAAGTCTAGATCTTCAGTTATTTAAAGACTGGATGATATATAAAAACTAAATATTGGACATATTTTTAATATCCAGGTTTCAAAACAAGTGCTAACTTGAGGAACTGATTTACCAAGCTGAGGGAAACAATTTATAGTATAAACATTGTTTCAGATATCAATATTTTTACTCATACACCATCTTCTTTAAATTTTTTAAGAAAAGAGAAGTTATTTTTCCTATTGTATTCAGGAATACAATTAAAGCATTTTTTTTCCGCCTTAAATCTTTTTAATTATTGTTAATCTTAAAATGGGCTTGTGTATCTTGAGTACACAGTATTAATTTACTATAATGACATAAGTAAAAGGTCATTTTCTGTATAAATCAATATTTCAGTGTTTGTTTTTTTTTATAAAGTCATGTTGATGTTTTTTAAAATATATTTTATTGATTTTTTACAGAGAGGAAGGGAGAGAGATAGAGTTAGAAACATCAATGAGAGAGAAACATCAATCAGCTGCTTCCTGCACATCCCCTACTGGGGATGTGTCCACAACCAAGGTACATGCTCTTGACCGAAATTGAACCTGGGACCCTTGAGTCCGCAGGCCGACACTCTATCCACTGAGCCAAACTGGTTTCGGCCAGTATTTCAGTTTTAACATTTAACAGATGAAATAAAACTGGTAGTTTAAATAGCTAGTAATTATAAATTTTAATATATTGAAAGAACATTTAATTTCAATGAATAGAAATTCAAGATTTATGCCGAAACTGGTTCGGTGTAGTCTTAGTTTTGTGCAAATCAACAACATTTCAAGGAAAATTGACTTGTCATGATTATTTATTCATTTTATCTCAGGATGTTTCTAAGTTTATAGTATTATAAATACATATAATATGTTTTCAAAACAGTTCATGTTGAAGAGATGAAGAAAATTATATATTTATTTTAAAAGTGAAGAATTCTAATCCAATAAATTTATACCAAGATTATTACTTAAGTCCTCTGTAGTTTGGAAGGGATTTTGACACTCATAGTAATTTCTTTCCACTGTGCAGTTTTGGATTTTATAATTTCCCAAAGAAAAAATAAATAAATTATAATATCTGATAATACCAAAAAGAAGTATGTTAAATTAAAAACTGTAAATTTAATAAGTATGCAAAGATTTTCATTATAAATATTACATTGATGTTAATTTATATAATTCTTCCTCAAAAGTAGTGTACTGCTAAAATATAAGTATGAAAAGTATTGCTTCTATAATCTTATCTATATTCTTTAGGCTCAAACATTATTTCTAGTAAAAAGGTAAGTAAATCAATAAAATAGGTTTCCAGTTAAATATGTTTTAATTCGATTTTTACTTTCTAATTAAATTTCATGTTTAAATATTAGATAAGCATAACTTCTTATGCCTCTGAAACTTTATTTTGAAGTAAAAAAAACACTGTCATGTAATTATAGCTCTAAGCTTGTTAGCAGCCACAGCCCTTTAATGTCATTGCAATTAGGAATTATCTTAGTAAATACTGATGAAATTTTCTTGAAAGTTTATCTCTACTGACAAAAACAGAAATGAATAAAATCAAATGCAAGAGAACACATCTTAATGTCTTTGGCAAAAAAGTGGGGAAGCAGATGCTTTCCTTTCTCTAAAATGAGCCCTTTACCCTTTAAGATAAGAAATTTTGTTTCAATTTATAACTGAATCCTTATCAAGCATCAGTCACACCATGTAGCAGACCACAGTTATTTTATCAAGGTGATGACAGTTACAACTTAAAGATCACCAGAATACACTTTGGAGATTAATATGAACAAGTTTTCAACATATAAATAAACTTTCTTATACTAATAAAAATGTGAATAAGAACATGTAGAACAGCCTGAAGAAAAGAAATTAACACGAATTAGATCAAAATGGTAAAATATTTATTATACAAGGTAAGATATCAGCCAATAGTGTGCTGAGAAAGGAACAACATAGGGGGACAGATAAATCTGGTTGAATATGTTGGTATGGGGGAGGATAATTTTTCCTCTATCTTCTAGGTTTTTTCCATGGGTCAAATAATTAAGTCAACATGAGAGACTAACAAAAGAAAAACAACGAATTTAATTATGTATGTATGGGAATCCCACATCATGAGAAAGTCAGAGACCTTACATACATGAGAGATTCAGAGATAGAAAGGTAAAATCCAGGTATATGTGACATCCTGAGCTAAGGAATTATGTAAGAAGCCTGGAGCTTTGGGGGACATGAAAGCAATTTGTAGGACAATAGGAGCAGATGTTCAGTAATTAGAAGTTTGCCCTGCCTAATTGATAGATCATAAAATGTTATTTCTGGTAATAACTTTTATTATGAGCAAGGTCTCTAATTTAAATTCTATAAAAGAGAAGTAAAAGTTTCTCCTGAGCTGCAGGGTCTCAATTGCCTTCAGCTCAAAATAATCCACATGCCAAAGTAGGACATCTTGGGGAGGTCTGTTCTGAACACCTTCAGTGGGCAGACGGAAATCTGTCTCCTATGCTACTTAAATTCTTGTGACTGGAGTACTAATAAAATTGAAACAAAGCAGAGTAACAGGAGAAAAATCTCAAGTTTTATTATGTGTATACAGGAGAACTAAAAGAATAATTATCTGTGAAAGAAATAGAGCAGGCTGTTTATATCCTTTCCATAAAATAAATAAATAAATAAATAAATTTGGGGGGATTTGACAAGACAAGAGAGCATGGGTTGAGGATGTGTAGTTAATAAGGATTTTAAGTAGAATAGAGTTAAAGGAAGTAAATGAGTAAAATTAACATGTGTTTCCTTATATAAGCTTCTTAGCTCTGTATTCTCTATTTCTGATTATAAGGCTGTCTATTTGTCTGGATTTTGGTTAGCCCTTTTATTTTATTTTATTTATTTGTTTATTTATTTATTTATTACCCAATATGTGGTCTATCTTTGTGGTTAGCCCTTTTATAGAAGATAAGACCTTTCACCTGGGGATTTATTTGTTACATTTAGAAAGAAAGAGGAGATTCAGAGAGTCCATTCTGTTCCTGCTGCTTCTCAAGTTGTTTTCATTCTATAATAACTAATCAATATACCATTGTTCTGTATTTGGAGACTACATGCCTTGAACCCCAACATAGATTCTATGAAAACTAGTAGAAAGAGGTAGTCTTACATAAATATAAGCCATTGCAAATTGCATTCTAGAAAATATTTCCTAAGTGCTGATAAAGAACAAATAATTTGAAAAAAAAATAGTTTAATAATGTACCCTGACAAAATATAGAAACAAGATATAGACAAGAATAGAGACAAGATACTTCCTTCACCAACGATGACACTTGCAAACATTGACATATTTATATAGAAAATAGAGTTCTGGTGCATGAAATTCATGCATGAGTATAGTCCCTAGGCCTGGCCAGCGATCAAAGCGTGAGTGTCTGACATGGAAGGGCAGATCCCAGTTGACCTTTGGGCCCTGGGCAGCACCTGGGCGCCTGGGCTCCCACCTGCCCTCCTCCCCCAAGTCATGGCGCCTGAGTTCCCACATGGAGAAGCCATGGGCTGGGGCACAATGTGGGCCTCTGGGCCACTCAGCAGCACCATACAGAAGCTAGGCGGGCAGCATGCTCTTTCGCAGCTGCCTTGCAGACTGGCTCCTATAGGAACCCATGGGGAGCCCAATCAGCCCCTGCAGATCTGGTGGCTTTGGCCCAACTCATCTAAAAGAGGATGGGCGGGCACAGGGCGGGCTCTTTGTGGGCGCCCATCAACTGAGCTTGGGACCTTCCATGGTGCATGAGCTATAGAGTCCCAGGGGAGGCTAGCAGGGTGAGCTCAGTGGACACCCCCATTGTCATCGTACCTCCATCTCCATTACCAACATCCCCGGGTAGCTGGAGAGAGGTCGCAGCCTCCCCACTCAGACACTGTGGGAGGTAGGTCACCCCCTACCCCTTAGCCACAATTCCCCATCCCAGCCTGGGGCCTGGCCCCGAATAGGCAATCAGAACCTGCTGGCCTCTGTATCTGCAGGGCAATTGGTCAGGGATGGGCCCCTTGCCTGGCTGCCTCAGTGCCTGGGAGCCTGGCAGTGGCCTTGCCACCTGCCACCATTGCTGGTTGCTATCTGTGTGGCAATTATCAGGGCAATCAAGCCCCTGCTCTCACCCATCTTGGCCTGGTGCCTCCTGCTCACCTGCTGCACCATCCTGCCATGGTCCAGCTCTTGTTGGGACCCATTGGGGCCAGTAGTACCTTCACTGCCACCTGCAATGTTCTGTGCCGCCCCCTGATGGTCAGTGCATGTCATAGCAAGTGGTTGCACTCCCAGTGGAATAATTTGCATAAAAGGCTTTTATTCCATAGGATGTTTTCTGCATCAGATTCAGAAATTCCATTTTCAAGTTCTGCAAATTGACAAATACACAGTTAGTTACATTTTAACAGTTTCAGTGTATACAAAAGACTTTAGTGGGAATTAGGTGACTCTAGTCAGGAGAATTTTCCTTTTTACTTCCTTTTGTATATCCTCATTTGAAAAATAAAATCCATCTTGTTGTGTAAATATCTAAGGAAAAGTTGAACACATTCAGATCACTAGATTCCTCTTAGAATGTCAATCTTGCATACATGAAAGGAATCTCAAGTAGCCTGGAAGATTTGGGCCTTCAAAGTATATAACTCTCATTGTCTACCTCCCCAAACTCCATTAATTTCCTGAACAAGAAAAGACTATGATTCATTTTAAGTGTTTTCTATTATTAGATGTAAAATGTTTCTTTCACTCTTATAAATCATGGGCCAACAAGGAGCATATTTGCAAAGTCATTCAGTTTCAATAAATTAATCATATTGATGATTGCTGTTCATTTGAATTTATAAAAGAAATATCTAAAATTCAGCTAAAGTGCTTAACTCACATGTATTTTGGTCCCAAAGGTACCCATGCCTATTTTAGCACAGTGTCCTTTAATACAGTGAAAGGACAGTACCTTTTTGGGGAAACGCATTAGGAAAGATTTGTACATGTACACAGAAAACACAAGCATTGTTATTAGGTTTGCATCACAAATGTAACCCATTTTTTTAAGGAAGAAAAATATAAATTTTGAAGATAAACAGTTAATTAAAATATATTTAGTAAATGAAACATAGTACAATAATAATTGTATTATATTTTAAAATTTAATGATGGTCACCAAAACCGGTTTGGCTCAGTGGTAGAGCGTCGGTCTGCGGACTGAAAGGTCCCATGTTTGATTCCGGTCAAGGGCAAGTACATTAGTTGCGGGCACATCCCCGGTAGGGGGTGTGCAAGAGGCGGCTGGTGGATTTTTCTCTCCCATAGATGTTTCTAGCTCTCTATCTCTCTCCCTTCCTCTCTGTAAAAATCAATAAAATATATTTTAAAAAAATTAATGATGGTCAATAACTGACATATAGAAACAGCAAATAAGAAATTTTAAACTAAATCAGAAGAGTGTGCCCTCTGTGTCAAAAGATTAGTTAGAATTACTAAAGGATAAATGAGTTGTATTCTTTGTACAACAGTCTCATAGACTCTTTAATAATGTCAGAGCTTAGAATACTAGGCTCTAAAAACAACTAATGTGACTGACTCCTCCTGTCTTACAGAATCATATACTATTCATTAAAAGTGGGCAAACTACTAAGCAATAAAGAAAGGATGGCAAGAGATTTTCAATAAAAACTCATTGGAGGAGGTTGCATTTGAAATGGGCATTAAAGAGTGCTAGAATAGTGACTAGGTTATGTTTAGGGGAAGGAAATGGTATATTCTATCAAAAAGAAAAAGCTGTAGAAGACACTCAAGATGTATAAACCTGTATAAGCTATATAAAAACACTTGAAGGCAAGGAAATAGGTAAGCATAATTAATGCTTGTTCAATAATGGAAAAAAAAAAGTACAACTTTGATCATGCATAAGATAAGAAGGATAAGTAGTCAGTGATGAGAAAAAGAAGTGTCAGAGCCTCATTTAAAGTTTTGGATGCCAGAGTGAGGGACTTGGTGTTTGAACAAGGAATGACAGAACAAGGGCAACTATTCAGGCAGATCAAACAGAAGTGGTTGGAGAAAGGACCATGAAAGACATATTACATATAATAAAACAGAAATGATAATTACATTGATAAGCAAAAATAATTAGAGCTGTAAGTAGGGAAATTTTTTAATAAAATTGAAAAGTATGGAGGAATAACAAACAGTAGAGCCAATAAATATATCCAAAATGTAAGCTGGGGAGGAGGAAGATGGCAGCTGGCAGGACAGAGGTGAAGGAGAGGAAGTGAATGAGTGAGGGTATGAAAGGAGTGTGTGTGGATGTGTGTGGTGTGTGTGTGAGAGTGAGTGAGGAAATGTTAAATCTTGCAGGAACAGCAGGGGCTGGTGGACAGGCTCTCTTTGACAAGGAGAGACTAACACCGTTACAGCACTCCCAGTATGGTGGGACTCCAACATGGAACCCATGCCATTTTGAAGGGGAGAATGGCCTTTTTTTGGAACTTATCAACACCACCAATAAGACAGGCCTTGGAAGTGCCCCGCGACCCAGCAGCAACTCCAGCCAAGGTTCTGCTACCCCAGCTGCAGACCCACAGACCCTGGGACCTTCATCTCCAAAGGTATACTGCTCAGCACCACAAGACACCCATAAAAAACACACATTGTATCAAAACAAGCCAGAGGAAATTGTTTGGACAAAAAATGAAAAAGTCAAATTTGTAGAAAATAATCCTTTAACTTTTGGTCAAGAATATGTTTTTATATTTTCAGAAAACACTCCAAGATCATGAGAATTCCTGCAACAGAGAGGAATTGACAAGTATGCTCCAGCCACGAAGACAGAAGAGAAACAGACCAGAGATGGAAGACTCTGACGTTGCCTTTCCATACTAGCAGTCAGCAACTGTGTATCACTGCAGGTTGCCCAGGACCATACCAGAGAGGGTCGGACCTGCATTGCCACCATTTGTCCACCATTCAGAACTGTAATATCATTGCTGACATGTACACATAAGGAACTGTTTGACATAGAAATTGGGACTCAAAAGAACTGTTGGCCCAGAATGAAACTCACTACAGACTGATTCGTTTGCCTCCCAGGATAACCATTATTAATTGTCTCATTTTCAGTTCTTATAAGTGTATTTCT